GAGTCGTGAACTCAGTGTTATGAACTCAAGAGTCATGAACTCAGAGTTTGGAACTCAGAGTCGTGAACTCAGAGTCATGAACTCAAGAGTCATGAACTGAAGAGTCGTGAACCAGCAATGGGAACAGATTGTCCACACACGCAAACTAAAGGACAGTACTATGAAGAACTTAGGTGCATAATAAAATGAGTAATGTTGCCATGAGGTGTATTCTGATGTATACAAACAGCAGCGTTTACACATTAGATCACCATTTAGACAAATGGTGGACAAATATTCTTATTTAAAGACTGCTTTAATACAACAGAGTCAAAACTGAGTCAAACATGGTCAACTAAAATTTATTGTACAAGTCGGTGGCGACAGCTGACCATCCTGTCGATTCTCTCCACTTATCCTAACGAGGGCGCCGTGGCAACAAATCACTTCCTGTCCCTGTTCATTAGGTAATTAGGAGCATCGCTCTGACCGGATCAGATAGTCGTTTGTTACTGGCCGACCGATGACAAACACTGAGCGACTGACATCGGCCGGCTTGTTGTAATGGGGAGGATTAATGAGGAGTCCATTTGAGTGAGACGTGGATTAACGTGGATTAGGAGGATTTTACGTTATATGTGATAAAGGTGAACCTGAAGTGATCGTTTACTCAAATCCTTGTCTGATAGTAAAGTCCTGCATTCTTCCAGGACATCACAGAATTTAATCTCACCTAGCGCTGATGAGTAAAGATGGCCGATAATGTTTTTACATCACAAGACGTCCCTGATCTGAATAAACCTCCTGTTGTTTTCAAGGTTGGATCTAAACGCTGGTCTGAAACTTTAAATGAAAAGCAGTGGGTGATGGGCATTCCTTCAAGAAATGCTCGGCCTCCCTTCAAGAAATGCTCGGCCTCTGATACAGAACATCACTGTTGAAACATGAGGTGTGCTTTCAGGTCCGTGCTGTGATTGTAGCAGCAGTGGAACGATGCAAAGCGTCCTGCAGTAACATCGACAGCGGTGTGCAGGTGAGACCAGGTGGAGTCTGCTCCAAACACAACAGAGGCTCAGGTGTCCAGATCCACCGAGGTGTCCGGGATTTGCACAAACAAATTGTAAAACTAAACTGAAAACAGAGAGGCCCAATTCAAACTGTGCGGCTCAGGAAAAAATAACAACAGCGCCTAGCATGTCTTGAAAGAATGCACGAGTTTTAATTCAAGATGGCTGCCAGAGCCACGTCTTCAGGTGTGTTAATGCTTGGAGTACGAGTTGAGGATTACTCTCAGATACTACCACATAAACTACATCACTATCTTTATTTTTTTAAGTTACAGCTGGTTTGTAGTGGGAGTGGCACAGTTGATAGAGCTGCAGCTCTCAGTAAGAAGGTTGCCGGTTCAAATCCCAGTCCGGGATCTCTCTGGGTGGAGTTCGCATGTTCTCTCTGTGCTACGTTGGTTTTCTTTTTCCTCCCACAGACCAAAAACACGCATGTTAGACTGACTGGTGACTAGGGCATTAACAGAGTACT